GAGTTTATACTTAATTTAATTACTATCTTGCAAGGACTCCAGCAATGCAAGTTATATTTTCTTCAGTCGAGTCTGACATTTTATAAGAAAACTTTAAGCCAAAAACAAAATTCATCCCATTAATCACCAGGTGAGTTTGAAGTGTTTGGGAGTGTTGGTTGGTGGTGCCAGTGTGGGATAGGCCTACTTAAGAAGGAACGGTCTCGTGACTCTTGCCGGAGGTCAGTGACAGAAGGCCAACTATTCTATGACTGCTGCCGCTTCCCCTGGGAAGTGCCAGCCACCCTCCACACCCGACCAAGTAAGACTTTTATCAGTGTGATCATAGAAATTGTGATTATTCCTGCCATAGATATATAAGTAAGTCAGGTGTGACAATTCCTGCTCCCAATGTATAATTCCAATTTTGTATAGACTGTTGCCTTCATCCCCCAGGGGTGGCCTACACACGTATGTCCCTACTTCTCGGACACTGCTGGCCAACTTGTCACCTCTCTGCCCTTTTCTCATAAGAACTAGTTTCCTCCGTATGAGACCAAAGCATATGTCAGTGGCAGACATTCCTGTTGCCCGAAGTGTGGAGCATTATGCTGGGCAACTGCTTCTGCTGCATCTATGCTAGCCAGAACCAAAATTGCACAAGCTGTGAATGTGCGAGAAACAACCGCCGATGTGTGGGGTGTAGAAAGGGGAACAATTGACAGAATCCCCAGCTCAGGGGCCGTCACAGGAGGACACAATGGATATCCTGAATGAAAGCAGCGAGTCCACTCAATCTGAAAATGTAGTGCCAATAATTACTGCTCCAACATTAGCAGATGTCCACAAGGTGAATGACAGACAGCCACCTCCTCAGAAGTTGTCAGGTGGTCGCCAGCTAACCTTTTTGAACCACCCAAGTATGCGGTCACCAAAGAAATGATTCGGGAGATGACTCGCCTCATAATTGAGTACACTCAGAACAGCTTCATTGCCCCATTAGCTCTTCAAATACTGGCAATAATACCCCATCTATTCTGTCAGAGGACACACGCAAGGACTAAGCGCAAAGAAAATGTGGCAGCAATGAAGAGAAGATTGACAATGTGGCAGAAGGGGCCCTTGATGATCTCCTACACAAAGCAAGAACACTGCAAGAGAGACTAAAATTCATAAGAGACAGAAAGCAAAACACCGAGGATGTTGCCGGAAAGTTTGGAAACTAGATGCGGGTAGGAAAAGTGTCCCTGACGGTAAGATCTCTCACACAGAGGAATCTTCCGGTGGTGATCTGCCAATAAACAGAGAGGCATTACAACAACTGAAGGAAATATATCCCCCTGCAAGTGAAGAGAAAGCCAGCAGGTTTCAGGGTGCCTATATCCCTCCAAATGCTGTCATGTTCGAGAAAATAACAGGAGGGATGCTGTGGAAAAAAGCACTGAAAACACACGGAGGGGCAGGCCCTTCAGGCCTGGATGCAGACGGTTGGAGAGTCCTCCTCAGCACTAACGAGTTTGGCGCCTCAGCAAGTGATCTCTGCAATGCCACCGCCGCCCTCGCAAGAAAGCTTGTAACCTCGTTCTGTCATCACCTTCATGCTCTGGTGGCCTGCAGCCTCATTTCCCTGGATAAAAATCCAGGATGTAGGCCTATAGGGGTGGGGGAAATGCCGAGACGGACGATTGGAAAATGCATAATGGAGGTGGTAAATGATGATGTCAGAGCAGCTGCAGGGACCCTGCATGTACGTGCTGGCCACCAGGCTGTGGATGAAGCTGCTATTCACACCATAAGAAAGATATTTGAGCAGCATGATTGTGAGGCAGTACTCCTGGTTGACGCTTCCAACGCATTCAACATAATCAACCGCAAGGCTACACTGCACATCAAGATCGAGTGTCCAAGCTTTGCAATGTATGTTGAAACACCTATAGGTACCCATCAGACCTCTATGTAACAAGCTTCAAGGCTCTAAGAGGAGATACATGACAGAACGGCAGCACACCCAAAGTGATAAACTGCAACCGATGCTGCAATTGCAAGAGAACTTGAAAAAAAAAGGTAGCTATAGTGCAGGAAGTTGGTGCTACAAACTGGCTAACAACGTTACTGATAAGGGCAAAAGGCTTCATCCTTAATAAACAAGAATTCACAGATGCCAGTAGGCAGTTTTCTCTCCCAATGAGTGTATGGCACATCTTATGACATTGACCACGCCATGGTGTGTAAGAAGGGGGCTTCGTATTCATGAGGCATGATGAAGTAAGGGATCTTATGGGAAATTTACTGAAAGAAATCTGCCACGACATCATGGTGGAACCACCCCTCCTTCCACTGGATGGTCAGAACCTCTGTCACAGGTCTTCAGCGCTCAAGGATTCTGGGCGCGGGGACAGTGAGCCTTCTTTGATGTTAGGATATTCGACCCCATGGCCGCTTGTCACCATAACTTGTCTCTTGAGGCCGGACACAAGAGGAACGAGAATGACAAGATTAGGGCGTATGGCGAAAGAATTCAGAATGTGGATCAAGGCAGCTTCACTCCTCTGGTACTCTCAACCTCTGGCGGGATGGGACCAAGTGCAAGACAAATCTACGCAAGACTGCTGGAGGTGTTGTCGGAGCAGAAGCAGCAGCCCAGACATCACGTTGTAGCCTAATTGAGATGTCGACTGTCCTCTGCTTTGGTCTGCATTGTTTCGCCTTAGGAGAACGAGATCATTGGACCCAAAGCCGACAGTGGCCGCAGATATTGACCGTGAGGCAACAGTCACTGAATGCCGCATAGATCTATGGCTTAACTAACTCATCACAGCCAGGGTAGCTGGAGGCCAATAAAAAAAAAAGTAGTAGGTACAGTACGGTAGGCCAGTAGAATGTTTGCCCTCCCAATGTGTGTGTGGCTCATCTTACGACATTGGCCACGCCATGGTGTGCAACAAAGGCGGCTTCCTATGCATGAACCAAGGCGAAGTAAGGGATCTCACAGCAAATATGTTGAAGGAAATCTGTCATGATGTCAAGGTAGAACCAACCCTCCTTCCATTGGATGGTGAGAATTTCTATCGCAGGACTTCAAACACATCTGACGAAGCCCATGTGGAAGTCAGTGGTTGAGGATTCTGGACGTGGGGACAGCGAGCCTTCTTTGACGTGAGGATTTTCGATCCCATGGCCGCATGTCACCGTAACCTTCCATATCAAGATAGGTTAAAGAAACTAAACTTGCATTCCCTAGAAAGACGAAGATTGCAGGGTGATATGATAGAAGTACTGTATTTAAGTGGGCGAAAGGAATCGATAAAGGCGATAGAGATAAAGTTCTTATAATATCCGAGCAGGATAGGACTCATAGCAGCGGATTTAAGTTGGATAAGTTTAGGTTTAGGAGGGAGATAGGAAGGAACTGGTTCACAAATAGGGTGGTGGACGAGTGGAACAAGCTTAGCAACCTTGTAGTAAGTGCTGGAATGCTGAAAGGTTTTTAAAGGAGGCTAGATAGATTCATGGATGATAGAAAGTGGTAGTAACTCTCGACAGGAGCTACCATGCACAGGCCAACCTGCCTATTGCAGACTCCTTTTTTTCTTATGTAAACTTTTTCTCGATGCTGCACACAGGAGGAACAAGAATGACAAAAACAGAGCATACGGGGAGAGAATTATGAATGTTGATCAGGGCAACTTCACTCCTCTGGTGTTTCACAACCTCTGGTGGAATGGGACCAAGTGCAAGATGTTTCTATGCCAGACTCGTGGAGGTGTTATCCGAAGGGAAGCAGCAGCCCAGAAGTTACATTACAGCCTGGTTGGGAAGCTGACTGTCCTCTCTGCTTAGGTCTGCATTGCTTTGCCTCAGGGGAATGACATCTTCATCCCCAAAGCTGACAACGGTTGCAGTTATTGACTATGAGGCAACAGTCACTGAATGCCCATAGATCTGTGGCTCAACTAACTCAACACAGCTAGGGTAGTTACTTATGTATTAGGATATTTAATTTGAATGTGGTGAAGGTGTGGTTATTGGGAAGGCTGGAGACCATATAATTAAAAAAATAAAATAGGAGTAGTAGGAGAGAGAACGGTATAAAAGGTAAATAACCTAACACTTATATATACATTATTGTTTATAATGAGTTTGGAGGTACATAGGTTCTATGTCAATTTATCTTTTATTTTATATCCAAATGTTTACACTAAATTAGCCAGCACATTGGAAATAAAGTACACAATGGATGTCATCAAATTATTCTCCAGCTATAAAAGGAATTTTTTGATTTTCCGAATAAAATACCATACATCAAGAACCAGTTGATGGTAGTAATAACAAAATTTACACTCAAAACATACACTTCTGTCCACTGAAACTTAAGCACATTTCTTCTATTATAAAAAAAAAATTAAATAAACATCCTTTGCATTATATTCCACAATTTGAGGGACAACAACCCCAAGGCAAAAAGGGTCAGGTTAGTCAATAGTAACTGGTTGTCTCACCACAGTAAATTAGACTGCCTGGCCATGAGATTGAAGTGTCATCTCCTGGGCTGAAAGTTACAAGCACTATTGAGTTAAAGGACCACAATCTTTTCCTTACAAACCTTACTAACTCAGTGACCTGATGAACATATTGTTTGTTATTCTGTGGAGTAAACATCTTCCATTCTACCAGCCACCATGAGGACCAACATAAACACATTACTTTAATATAATGGCACAACATGGAACAATAGGGCTAAACTACATTTGCATTCAAAGTGTGTATAAATAATTTTAATCTTTCAATATAAATAACAATACAGAAAATTGATGTTTAATAATATATATTACAATTGCAAAAGGAAAAATACAGTTTTCTTATCCAACACCATTATATTTGTGTTCTATGTAATTATTATACAGTAGAGTAAACAATTAAAAAAAAATAAATCTTAACATTTAAAAGGCTGTGACATAATATAATATATCTATTCATACACAAGTTTATTCCCTATAAAAAGACTATGAATTCTGCTTCCTCTATCCACTGCTTTCACTATCTAAATGTGGTCGGTGGTGACGGTGATTTTCTGAGGTAATACGATGTCTTAATTCTTGTTCTGGTTGTAGAGGTTCCACTGCTACATCACTACTTTTGCAAACTTTAACTGCTTGGCAGTCAGCGTTCGTTAACTCTACATTTTGTGTTACAGGGTGATCTAAGGCTCTAGCAGTGCCATACGGCATATCGCCAACATTTCTTAAAAGGCTGTTTGTATCTCCTTTAATGACCTCAGAAGTACCACTAAACACTGAGGCAGTATCTTCTGCCACCTTGGAATCAGAGGAACATTTTCCTGACCCATCATAAATACAGTGATTAAAGCTCTTATGCATATGTGCACCGACTGGTATGGCCTTGTATCTCATACCATCATTGTGTTCCCCATCATCCAATGACACAGAATCTGAACTGCTAGGCAGGTCCTTAACTGGTATTGATGTTTCATGAGGAGAAGAAGGTAAAGCTCCTAAAGGGAGGCTGTCCCTTGAGGAACCTAGAGAATCAGAAGTTAACATAAAAGGTTCACTATCTGTTCTATCAGACACAACAGAGCCTAAGGCATTATTACTAACAGTCTCTGAGGCATTAGATGAAGTAGCAGTAATATCTGGTTGCCTTGGAGGTGAGACAGGGGTCATATGTGAGGAAAAAGTAGCAGGAGAAGCCAATGAAGATATGGAAGAGGTAGGAAATGATGACAAGGAAAAAGAATTAGAGGAGCTATTTGAATCCAAAGGTCCTACTCCAGAAACTTGAGGGGTTGAGACAGTAGCAGTGCTGGCTATTGAGGTTGTAGGATTTGTTGTATTAGACCCAGTTGCAAAAGTTCCCATGAAGGTAGTTGTGGTAGTACTTGTAGTAGACACTGTCACAGTAGCAGTGTTGAATGCAGACGTGGTTGTGGTGGTGGTACTAGTTGACGTTGAGGTCGATGCTGTATTATTCTGCTGAAGATTCTGCACTATATTTCTGACATTTCTGAACACAAAGCTCAATGATGTGTTTCCATTTCTGTTGTTTGCTAAACCACCAGTCATGTTGCGGAACACCAAGTTAACCATGGGTGGGATATTTGGCCTTGGTACCCCATCATTCCGAGTACCACTAGTACCATTGTTAGCACTCTCTCTCTCACCACCAGTGTCACCAACACCAGTGTTGTTGGCTGTGTTGTTAGCAGCATTCTGGTTATTGTTATTATTGTTGTTGTTGTTGTTGGGAACATTGCGTAGAACAATATTAACAGTGTGGACACGACCAAGTTGTTGAATCTGTGCTTGCTGCAATATTGCTGGCAGTTCATAATGGTGGAAGAAGTAGAGCATGGAGTGCTGAGAAAAAAAGGAGAAAAGGATTAAACAAGGCTGTTCAAAGAATTATCCTCCAAACTAAGAATAGAGGAAACAGTTGTACAGTCAGCCCTCCAAAAAAGAAGGTATCTCTACCCCTGCCGTACCTAACAATCTGAAACATCGGATGAAGACTTAAAACATATTCCTGTGGTTATTGCCGTGATTCATGTGTTAAAATTATGTGAAAGTGATCAGGTACTCAATTTAATTTTAATAAATAATCATATTGTCATTTGTGTTACCATTACCACTGCAGTATCCACCCTTTATTCTCCCTCATAATTTGTGCCATTGAATACAATAGAACCCATGAGCCTAACCCTCGCCACATTACTGCCAAAGTGTTTCGCAGGTTCATGTTGCTATATTCTGATAGAAAACCTGGGTGGTGGCAGCCTACCGTGAGTATTGAAGATAGTAGTTAAGTAACATGGGGTTTCCCAGGTAAGCCCAAGATCAGAATATAGTATCCTTGAGAATATTTATAGAAGAAACTAAGAAGTAAGAAGAAGTATAATAAATAAAGAAATATAGATAATAGAAAGAATAAATAGAGTAAGAGAAACTAACAGTAAACTAAAGTATACTTAGAAAATGAAGTACAGTACAAATCTTTTTTCCATCCCTATGTATCATATACCGTATTTGCCGGCATATAAGATGCACCACAGCATAAGACGCCCCCCTATTTCACAAGGATATTTTGTGGATTTTTTTTTTAGTACCGTATATCTCGGCTTATAAGACGGAATTTGAACATTAAAAAAAATCTGCCCAAAGTTAGGGGGACGTCTTAATCACCAAGTATAAAATTCTTACCTCTTAAATATTGTGGTTTAGTGTGTCAAGAGTGGTGATGGAAACATCGTAAGCCACTCACAAAGTCCTACCACTAATTATTTTATACTGAAACTTACGTTTGGCAAGCTGGATTCAAATTAAGATTACCGGTATATTAAAATAATAAAAATGTATTATAAACCTGTCTAACATACCGTAAAAGAACATTATACCCCTGTAATAAACACAGCTATCATCACACACCCCTCCCCACGCCCCCCAATTTGCCAGTGAGGAGACAAGAAAGGGAAAGTGACCGCGAGATTGGGTTATTTTTAGCAGTGGAGGTGGTCAGTAATGCATATCGGTATATTTACTGATAATAATACTTATCTCCTATAAATAATTAATTTAAAATTTATTTTTTTACAAGGAATATTCAGTAAATGACTGCATTAATTCTTGAAACTACCGACAGTTAAATACAGACGCTTAAGTGACGTCACTAGTGTTTACACTACACCAGCTGGTAACATTTGATGCCATTACTTGAAGTGAATTGGCCTTATTTTAAGTAACTAACCATAAATAAATACAAAAAGTAAAAAAAAGATCAAAAGTGAGAAATAATATACTGTATGCATGTTGTGTTGTCAAAGTTAGAGGAACAATTGAAACTGCAATTGTGTGTAAATGAGGCAGAAAGTCAGGTCAGCGCTGAACCTGGGACTTGGTCACAATTTTCGTGATGCCATATGGCAGCAGGGTCTACCATTAGACAACACATTATGCTTCCAATATCTTCCCAGGCAGTAGTATCTACCTGTTTGGTAGCTGCCTACTACCTACACAATTTTTAGTAATATTACTTTGATACATGATAAATTAGACAAACAATGAAAATAAACATGAAATTTAATTACCAAGACGCTTCCCATTGGCAGCTGTAAGAAGAGGGGCAGATGGGCTATTTTTATCCCGTCTTTGTGTCTGAAGTGGCCAGTAATACCATATATTTACTGATCATAATACTTATCTCCTATAAATAATTAATTTAAAATTTATTTTTTACATAGAATATTCAGTAAATGACTTTTAAATAAATAAACAAATCATTCGGTAAATCTATTTCAAGTAAATGGAAAATAAGCAAACAAATGTTATTTACCAAGACCCATCCCTCTGGCTCAGGGTGAGATGGAGAATAAAAGGCCTTATAGCCGATAACGTCATCTGATGACATTACCTAATATAAATAATTCATTTAACATTTATTTTTTGTTATATATATATATATATATATATATATATATATATATATATATATATATATATATATATATATATATACTTGTGATCCATCGCCAGAATTGCCGTGTTAAGTGGCTCACGTTCAGTAGAACAACAGAACATATGGGATTAAATTCAATAGAAACCCGGCCCGACCCCCAAACTCCACTTTTTGACTACTATGTAACTGTATATTTTCAGCCTTCTGGCTTCCAAGCTCTTCAATAAACCGTTAATTATTATTATTATTATTATTATTCCAAGAGAAATAGAAATACAGTGCCAAGTTAATGTCCATTCAAATAATGGACACGACTCCCTCCCCCTCTCACACTACACTGCCGGCTCTTCCCTCTCTGAGAAATTTTGGGGGGAAAACCACTAAATTTTAATAAATAATACCTCAAACTAAAGTTAGGATAATACAATTGACATTGCTGGATTCCTTGTAAGACCAGGAATATTTTGAATATAAATGTCATATATTTTGCACAAAAGAGAACATATTTACTCAGAGTAAACCTTTTATCTAAAATTTGTATGTCTAATGCAAAATATATGATGTTTATATTCAAAATGATCACCAAATTGTAAGAATTCCAGCGGGTAATTTGTATGAATTTTATGAGCTAAAACAAATATCTTCAGTTAATAAAAAAAAAATATTCTTCACGACACTATCTGTCAATCAAAGTACCCCACCTTGCCTCCCCCCCTCTTCCAACCGCATGGTCAGTCCCAACCCTCCCCCCACCCCCCACCAATCCTCCCTTCAAGAGATGTTGGGTGAAAAAACTAAATTTTAACATTTTGTATTAAATAATACCTCAGATTAAAGTTAGGATAATATAATTGACATTGCTGGATTCCATGTAAGACCAGGAATATTTTGAATATAAATGTCATATATTTTGCACAAAAGAAAACATATTTACTCAGAGTAAACATTTTATCTAAAATTTGTATGTCTAATGCAAAATCTATGATGTTTATATTCAAAATGATCATCAAATTATAAGAATTCCAGCAATGTAAATTATATTCTGACCGGGTAATTTGTATGAATTTTATGAGCTAAAACAAATATCTTCAGTTAATAAAAAAAAAAATATTCTTCACAGGGTAACAGATGGTCGGTCGCTCCCTCCCTCCCCCCCACCCCCCACCAACCGTCCCAAGGAGATGTGTGGGAAAACCAGAATATTTAACTTTTTATTAATAAATAATACCTCAAACTAAAGTTAGGATAATATAATTGACATTGCTGGATTCCTTGTAAGAGCAGGAATATTTTGAATACAAATGTCATATATTTTGCACAAAAAATAACTTATTTACTCAGAGTAAACATTTTATCTAAAATTTGTATGTCTAATGCAAAATCTATGATGTTTATATTCAAAATGATCATCATATTGTAAGAATTCCAGCAATGTAAATTATATTCTGGCCGGGTAATTTGTATGAATTTTATGAGCTAAAACAGGCAGTCAGGCAGGGTGGCGGGTGGCGGGTGGGGCAAATCTAAAAATAGCGTCTCCACTCACCGCGTATATGTGGAAAAAACCCGCGTTAAGTGAAAGTTCAGCTCTGGCGAGGCACCGCGTATACGGTAAAACGCGCTGAGTGAAACCGCGTTAGGCGGGGTAATACTGTATTAATTGTGTGCATGTACCATCATAAAATTAAGATGTTATTTTTACTAGAACATAGGTATTGTGTTGGAAAAAGTGGAGTTTGGGGGTCAGCTGGTCTCTATTTCATTTAATCCCATATGTTATGTTATTCACTTTACGCGTTTCTCACTTTCCGCGGTACCCTGTGGGTTACATTAACCGCGTAAAGTGAGGGTTGACTATATGTATATATATATATATATATATATATATATATATATATATATATATATATATATATATATATATATATATATATATATATATATATATATATATATATATATATATACACTACACCAGGGTAGGACCACCGACTTACGACGGGTTAGGGACCCAAATCCAGGTCGTAAGTCCGATGTAGATAAAAAAAAATCTACAATGAAATACAGTACAGTAAAAGTAATGAATAATGATGAATGGATACAGTACAGTGAAAGTAATAAATAATAAGGAATGGATACAGTGTGACTGAGCACTTAACCTTTAATGTAGTCAGCTGAATGCACATGGGGCCCCCATAATTTTCTAATTATACATGGAGACTACATTAACTGGAAACGTTTCGGTATAGAAAATGCGTGTGTCATTTAAATTTTTTTTTTTTATCTATTCTGAGGCGGTCGTAAGTCCCGACGGTCGTAAGTCCACGTAGTCGTAAGTCGGGGTCTAGGTGTATATACATATATATATATACAGTATATATTTTACTTTTTTACTAGGCCGATTAACTAATTCAATGAATATTAGCTGCCTGCCCCTACTACAAATTTCATAGTATAAACATTCCAAACAATATTGGTATTATTTTGGTTTTGGTCATCTGGGGAACCTTAAGATTCTAACCATGGGATTAAGTACTTTAAACAATAAGACACATTATCTCTACGGAATTTCTGTTACAAAACATTTTTCGATCGCTTAAGAAAATACAGGTCATAGGTTAGGTTAGGTTAGGGTATGATGGTTAAGGTTAGCTTAACATACATCGCTAAGGGGGGGTAGTAACTTAAAACTAGAAATTTCCAATAGAAATGAAGGTCTAAATCGTTCATAACACATCGCAAACCCTCAGAAAAAAATCTTAGTCTGCATGTCTAAGTACATGGATGACCAAAACTGTATGTATATTTTGTATGCTGTATGTATATTATGTATGTATATAATGTATGTGCTCCATTTATATACACTATTTATTCAGCCTAGCTAGCAGCGTGTGGCAATGTATTTACCATGTCCCACATGCTTAATTAATGTGCCTGGCGACATATGGAAGCTGCTAATGTATCACTTACCACATGTCGCCCGAGAAGTTAGTTGACCCGCCATACAGAGTAAGGAGTGCCATCTTCCTTGTGTACCTTCGTTTATTCAGTATATAGAACCTACGAAAACTCTACAGGTGTTTGTGTTCGCTCCTGTAGATAGAACTTGATACCCAGAACACTTACAAAAACTATCGCTCATATATCCATCCAACCTATGTTGGAAGCAGCTCTTCACAGCACATTTCTTCACTTACGAAATGTCCATGACTTAGACCATAAAAAAAAATCCTTTAAAACTTACCTGAATGTGGCATTTGGGGTCTGAAGTGGCCATCCTTTGTACCACCTATGACTGCAGCTGTGAGTTTGATAGAGTGCGCCGTCTGCTGGGTAGGTGGTGACGTCATTGCAAATGTCGGCCTTGTTTCTAGAGAAATAAACTTATCTCGACTATTATAGCACGACTTTAAACTTTTATTACAAATTATATATACCGTACCACTCTACGAACATGTCAGAGTGTATTTCTTGTGTTTACCCAGAACAGTCAACTTGTCCATTGTCATGAGCAAAAAAAATTTCTGCTTTACCCGGTACACTGCAACTTTTAGTTTGGTTTTTCTCCTTTTAACCTTATATTTTTTATTCTAATTCTGTAAGTAAGGTAGTCAAAACAAGATTCTGCTGCCCTCAGTTTGCTCACTATATGCTAAACGCCATATGATATCCTTGACAGTCCGTAATGAATCCTCTTCTTACTCAAATGTCCACTCATTCATTTATAGTACAGTATTAGTAATTGTGTACTCTAATCTGTAATTTCTCCATATGTTATTGCTCTCCATCTACCACATTCACTTTACATGTATGTGTTATTCCATTAATAAATCATAGTTTTCATGCTTAAATTGAATTCAAAGTTATGCCTCTTGATTAACACCTCTTCTTGTATAGGTAATAAAGAAAATTACTTCAAAATCAATGCCAATTCCGGACAAGTCGCAACAAACAAAAAAATTGATCGAGAAAACTTGGAAGCAGGGGGTAGTACGTCCTTGAGGATATCTATTACTGCCATGGAGTGTGATGCACATGGAATACCAATTACTCCTGGGAGTAATATTACTGAGTCAACACAGGTGAGCTGCATGCCATTTGTTGTGTTAGGTTAAGTTAGGCTGTACTAAGAAGTTGGACTGAAAATGAATGGGCTTATCAATATTTTACATGATGTAGTGAATAAACAGTGAAATTTCTCTATGCCACAGTCTCTCTTAAGGAGCAATTTTTTGGGGTTGTGACTTAGTAAAAGAAATGAGTTCAATGTTGCAGCTTCCTGAGGTTTTGTATCTTGGTTACAATTCCATGTGTGTAATGATCCCACTCATGTCTTCTCTAAGTACATTTAGAATTTTGTAGCCTGTGTTAAAGAAATAAGCACTACTTAAAGACTTTTTTTTATTATTCTCTTTGCCACTGATCAGCTCATTAGCCACTTGGGCAGTTGGTCACATTTCTGTTATGCAATGGTGATAGTCATTGGGCATTTACTTGCATCAGTGTTGGTCAAGTCTGGTCTTGAATGAGCTCACACTCAGTGCCGTCACAAGGCTCTCTGGCAGAGTGTTCCAAGAGTTCACAACCCTCAATCTAAAATAGTGTGCCCTGATAATTCCCTGAGCTTGTGGCTTCTTCAACCTTAAGCTGTGACCCTTAGTGGGGTGAGCCTTCACCAGCTACAGGTATGCATATTTGGCTGAGTAATGACAACAGAGGTGTTTATAAATTTCAATTAAGTCAACCCTTGCTCACCTATAACCTATAGTATACATTAAGCTAGGCAACTGCTGGTGTTCTAATTTATCTGGGTAACTGAGGTTTTGTAGTGCAGGTACCAGTCTGGTGGCCCCCCTTGTGATATTTTCAATTAATTGACAGGCTCTACTATATCTTGGGGACCAGACAGCATGACATTACTGTACAGTAGTCCCTCAGGAACAAATTTTCCGAGGTTAAAGATCGAGAGTATTTTCTGAAAATGTTTTGAAGAAAGAATAAAGTTAAAGCATTTTGGGGGGAGACCTGACCTGACTCAATATCAGGTGGAGGAAGGGTGGGGGATTAGTAGTCACATATTACTGACCTTCTGATGGAATGTCAGGTCATCCTTTCTTGGGTGGGGGAATGGTGGGGCTCGTGACCTGAAGATGTCTTGAATAAACACCAAAGCTAAACTATTTTTAGGGAGATTGTGATAAGTATAAGTATAAATGAGCAAAGTTGTATCCCTTCAACATTACATTACATAACATTTTAAAATATGAAGTGAGAAAGCAGAAAGGTGTGGGTGATTAGAGAGATGGAGTGGAAAGGAGTGGTGCCAAGCGATAAGCTCCTCTACAGCTGATCTTTTAATTCGCTTCCATGCAGTCACAAAACAAGATCCTCACTGGATGCTTGTTGTCTTAATTCACACACACACACACACACACACACACACACACACTGTACATACAGTATACAATACAGGTAAAAGAAATAATTGTCCTAAGGGCAAACACATAAAGGGAATACCCTGTATACATTTCTTTGCACACGAGTAAAAATTTACCCCCACCCCGGTCAGCAAATGATATTCGCGGATTTGGCTATTTGTGGTCAATTTGAGACCCAAATGCCCGCGAATTTTAAGGGCTTGTTGTACAACTATGTACTGTTTTACAGCTTCTGATATGTACATTGCAGTGTTCATTATTCATATTTTCTTTCTTAATGCCCTTAACCAGGAAGCTCTTTAATGTAAGGAGACTTACTAAGAGGATCCTTTGAACCTGCTTACTGTGCTGCAAGTGTCTGCCAGGTTGATATTTTAATCACTAAATGACTGATCAACTTTCTTTAACAGCCTGCACAGCCAGGCTTAAATGAGGGGGTATGTGTGGTGTACCCCTTCCCCCTGGACAAGATAGGGGAGAAAGCTGGAAGTCTGCCAATCCCTAATGCTAGCCCTGCTCTTTATTAATCAGCACAAAAATGTGGTTTACACCTTAAAAACATACCAGTTCCTAACTTACCACTGTAGTTAATTGTGGTGTCTGATGACTTTTGCTTGACACCCTTCAAAAGTCGAGTCTCTCTCCCAGGTTGTTAATATTCTAGGAATGGTTAGTTGCCGTTTATTTCAGATTAGGTGTTGCCACATTTAAGGAAGTGAGTTAGCTTTACTTGTTATTTCACATTTGTCCAACTCCTTTTAGGCCTAACAAGTGTATGAAATGTGGTTAGCCTAAGTACTGTACTTACGTTTATGATTGTTTTTCCACAAAGCAGTGAACTTCAATTCACAGGGTGTGATGATAGCTTTGTCTTTGGTCTAGACCACTTTAGCCACAATTTCCTCCTGCCTTGATTGCCAGAGTTGTATGATTGCTGCTTAAGTTTATCCTGTTCTTATTCTTATTTCATCATCTCAGCTTCATGATCCTAAAGAATGCTAATTATATTCTAAGAAGCAGTGTTGTACGCGTCAATGAAAAAAGTGGCACCGCCAGCGTCAGCGTAAACGGCCGAGAAATTTGATAGCGTCGGCATAAACGATTTCACAAATTGACGCCGTTAGCATCAGCGTCAACGAGTTTTCAGTGACGTACAAATGCAGCCCCGAAACGCGTATTCTCCTGTGTATAGGAGTAACATATGCAAAATCAAAAAATATTCATTCATTTTTAATAATTTATTATGATTTATATTATATCATTTTAATTATTCATTTGTCCCCCTGCAAGAATACTAGCATCTCAAAATGCTTGTCGCTCATTCTGCTGCGCTTGGGCCTCAAGACGTCCTTGCCCATGGAGAACATGCGCTCCACGGCAGCACTAGAGGGGATGGGGGTGTTGTATTTGATGAACAACTCCCTCATGGCCTTGTTGGGGAAGGTGTCCTTGTCGAAAGTTTTTTAAAGGTAGCTCCCCCAGGAAACGCTTGAAAAGGTCACTGTCTTTTTCACTCCTGCGCGGGGTCTCATACAGGGCCTGGAACAATTTGTCCTCCATGTCATGGTCTTTGTCATCTCCCTCACTGCTGCTGCTGCTCTCAGTCTTGTGCACGGACTTCTCCACCAACCTGGACAGCTGGTTGGTGGCCTTTTTCCTGACTTGAAAATTCAAATCTGTAGAAAGCTGCGTGGGTGGCGGGCGCGGCAAAATTTTTCCCGGTTATCTTTATAACAAGATAATTGAAAATCGAACTTGGGAAAATAAAATTTTTTAGAAATTGATGAACAAATTGACTCTTCACATGGGTGAAAAGTTGACTGCGTCACCTGTAGCGTCACCTGCCCAAAAAATTGATGGCGTCAGTGTTAACAGAAAGTTGACGGCGTTAAATTAATGGTGTCAATGTACAATACTGCTAACAAGTTATATACATCCTTTGCGGATAAGCGTATTACTGTATATTGTTGGTTATTTTCTCTGTAAAGTTTGATTTTTCTCACACAAAATTTGAAGTGCTATTTTTACTTTTTATTATTATTATTATTTCCAAAGTGGTTGTGATGGTGAAATTTTTATATATGCCATTGAAATTGTGCGAGAAATCATAAATAAGCTAAAAAAAATTTTTTTAGAAAAAACAGTTTATGTGATATAGTCCAGAATGCGACGTCTAGCTTTATACCTAGGTATGTAAATGCCTAGCATTAACTCGCCAGGCCAACATACAGGCAATTAAAACATCTAACATTTACTTAAATACATAATATTAGGAGGATATGTCGCTACCTGTCATTTAATTGCAATTCTCAAAACTCTTCCTGCACCCTCCATCACACGCATTGCTACCGTCATCTCTTGCCCTAGAGCGAGCAGTAAACAAATGTCAACTCTCGAGGGGTGGAGATGGGTGGGATGTCGACGTTACATTCTGGGCTATATCACAAAAACTGCTTTTTAGAAAAAAAATGCTTTTTGTTCAATCCAGAATGCAACGTCTAGCTTTGATTACCCGAGCAGGAGGTGGAGAGGGAGGTGACATTGCGTATAAGGCTCCGCTAGCTTACTGTAGGTCCAGATTATAATTATAAAATTTTGGGAATATTTGTCAATATTAGGAACATTTACCGGAAGGTAAAATGTTAATTTACATATCCCAATTAGGATACTCACTTTATTCTAATGAGGAAGAAGAAGGTCCTGGTTGTGGAGATTAACTAGGTGGGGGAGGGGACCCCAGCACCACCACATGTGAAGCATCTTTCAGAGATGGATGAGGATAGCTGTTTTGAAAGGTTTTTGAAGATTTCCAAAAGCCCACTTCTTTGATATGACTGAGGCTCATATGCCACAGAAAGGCCACAGATCTTGTCATATTTCCTGGCGTCATGTGCCAATTTGTTTTGTTTTTTTTGCCAGGGTCTGCTTGACTCACTGAGAAAAATATTTTATCATTTGACTAGGAGACAATTTCTTACCATCCTGTGATGAGAATACATAGGGGCCTCGATTAGGGAATCTGGTTAACAATTCTTGAAGAATCTTAACTGGGCACAATATATGAGGAACCCTTGTCTCATCCATTAGCCGTTTTATCCTGATAGGTTGAGTTTTAAAATCCTCCCTTTCATTTTTTCTTAGAATCTCCGTAGGAAAAATGGTGACATCTTCCTCAGAAAATGCCAATAATGATGGATTTTTGGAAATTGAAATCAGCTCACTGATTCTCATGCCTGTTGCTATTGCTAGAAGGAAGGCTGCCTTCTGCAGCAATCTATCCTGGTTCAGATTTATATTGTAATTAGGCCCCATAAGAAATTTAGTAACTTTATCTAGAGACCAAGGTGGGATTCTCTTAGGCCGAGGGGTCTCTGAATGAAAAATGACGATCTGAGCATTTGATAAATTCTTGGGTTTAAAGTAATATTAAAACCCCATGCCAGAGAGTCAACCAATGCTGATTTATAAGATGCAATTGTAGAACCTTGAAGGCCTTTAACTCTGAACAGAAAATCTAAAAATTCTAACACCACTGTTTCCAACAATGTGATTGGAGTCGTTAACCTGATAAACTGTTGAAAAAGTTTCCAAGCTTTCTCATATTGCATAAAAGTTCTGGGCCTATGACCTGCTATTACTTGGTTAACTATATTGGAATTACCAAACAATCTATTTAAACATCTTTTGAGAAACTCCAAGCATGAAGTGCCAAGGATATCTCGAACTGAGGGTGTAGTACCTGTTCTAGACATCCTTGTTGTAATTGTAGTGGATGCGGGCACCATTCCAACAGATCCAGACACCACGGATGTAGGATCCAATATGGTGCAATTAAGAGGACCTCTCCCTGGAGGGATCTAAATTTTTGAACCATTTTGGGCAACATTTTCACAGGTGGGAACAGATAGAGTGAATTCCAACGTTTCCAATCTATAAGTAGAGCATTTCCTAAAAGATTCGATCGTTCCAGAGATGCATCAGTTGGCATCTTGTGATTGTTTTGTGTAGCAAAGAGATCCATTTGTGGAGTCCCAAAACTCCTCACTAGACTCTTGAACTTTGATATCTTTAGGAACCATTCTGTTTCCGTCGATACTGGCCTGAGACAGGACAATGCATCTGCCCAATTGTTTTGTACTCCCGGTATGTGAGTTGCTTTGAGGTTGAGCCTTGATGATTGAGACAAAACACTGCCGCTTTATTTTCCATGGCATACAGAGACGACATGTTTTTGAAATTTGGGTTTGCCAAACAAAAGAATAGGACTACTGCTAATTCTTTTATGTTCACGTGTGTGTCTCAAAAGGAGTTGCTCCACTTCCCTTGATGGAACACTCCTTTTGAGGAATGGTATCCCCATCCTATCTCAAACTCATTTGTACAAACGACCAAGCCTGTTTGAGGGGGAACCCCGGGAGATGAACCGATTAGATTGTCCAAATTTATCCACCTTGACAGATGAATCTTTATCTGAATAGGGAGAGAAGAAGCAATATTTTTGTTTCTGTGAAGCAACTTCAACCCCAGATGAGTTAGTTGCTTCTTCCTTAATGTGCCCAAAGGAACTACAGTACTATGGTGGCAAAATTCAACAGACCTAGTAGTTTTTCCCAATCGTGCCAAAGAACCTCTTGCTTTACACAAAAAGGCCACTACTTGGTTTATCACGTCTATTACCTTTGCTCTTGGTAGACTGACTGTCTGCTTATTGGTGTCCCAATGGAGACCTAACCAATCCAATTTCTGACATGGTATGAGATTTGATTTGACCTGGTTTATCTTTAATCCTAGGTTTTGAAATAGTACTATTGTTTGTTGAGTCGCCCTTTGACAGTTTTCGAAAGAGTTTCCCACTATCGGCCAATTGTCTAGATAAGCAAAAGTTCTTATGCCCTCCTTTGCAAGGATCTCCCTGGGAATGTTCGCCAGTTTTGTAAACACTTTTGGTGCAATTATTAGGCTAAATGGCATCACTTGAAGATTCTTATGGAAGGTAATTCGTTAACTGAAATTTCATTAACCGAAGCGTTCGTTAACCGAGGTACCACTGTATATACTGTACCTGTATATCATCCTGGCCTTGAGTTCAAACATGGAAATAAATAACATATGAGTTTTGAAATTGATGCATGAATTATTTCAATAAGAAGATGTACAAACCTAACTTGAAGCATTAAATTCATTGAACCATTGTACAGTATTTACGATCAAGATCCACATTTGAGACGACGCATATACATATATATATATATATATATATATATATATATATATATATATATATATATATATATATATATATATATATATATATATATATATATATATATATATATATATATATATATATCTATGTCCCAATTCCTGCCACCCCATCCAAAATGTCCTGGACACTCCACTGCTCTTGCGTTCCTAAACCTATACTATTTTAAAACATATGAAACTATTTTTAGTTATTCAGGATCACTGTTTGTTGTGACATAATATTTATTACCACAGATTTCTTATATGTGTTTCAATTCCATATCTTTTTTAATTTTATATGTAATGTTTCCCTCCAAATAGCTTTCTTGTCATATGACTTTACCGGTACTTTGTTTTAGAAGTTTAATGCACTTATTTATTTTTTCCTGTGTTAAGAAGCATTTTTATACTGTGATTTCCTTCCTCTTAATTATTAACTCATGTACAGTATTATTATTATTGTTGTTGTTATTGTTAATATTATTAAAGACCTGTACAGTGACTATACAGCACACCTTAATGTCTTACTATACAGTACTTAAAATTCACAATTTGACTATGACAAAGTTTTCTTGTTTTATTTTTTTTTTACCTTCATTGCAGGACACTGTAATTTATATAGATGATGTAAATGATGAGACACCGACCTTCAATGAAGAGTCATTCAGCATTGTGATGGAGGAACTGACGAGTCAAGATATTTACTTGGATCTGATCATGTTTGTCTTTGACATGGATGAGGTACAGTGCAATATCTATTTTAATTTCTCAAATTACAATGGTCATGATAATTCACAGGTTAGGAGCCAGAAGTAATTGTGAATTATCAGATTGCGAATTATAGTTTAATTAGTTTAGATGGCAATAATTACTGCAGTTTTGTTCCACAGGCCAAAAAATACCCATAAACTGTTCAAATTTGTTTTAATAAACACTGAATATCATGCATAATACTTAAAAAATACTACAGTAACACATAGATATTGTAAAAAATGTAGCTCCTACCCTTTTCTCAATCATCTATGGGTTATGCCAACATTGAGACAGGCATCATGACTGATTGATTCATTGGGTAAAATATCTGGTGTCGCAACAGGCAGCACGACTGGATGGGAGTGGAGTGGTGGCGCCGGGCTGGCTGGTTGGTCAGCTGTTTGCACTCTGTAAAAAAAGCACAAGGAATTTAACATGGTGTAATAACTTATCTGGGGCTGAGTCTGTATATTCTGTACTCACCAGCAGATGCTATCTTCTTGAGCCTACAGTAGGCAGACACTGTCCACTGCTGAATGTAATACATAACTGTAATCACTTGCAATGGAGGTGTGGTAGGGGATTAGTGGGTTTCATGTTACTGACCTGACCTGATGCAATGTCAGGTCACCCATTGTATAAAAACTTTTTTCTCATCTACAGTGGAGGTGGGGTGGGGTTGGGGATTAATGATCTCATATTACCGACCTGATGCAATGTCAGGTCACCCATTGTTGGTGTGGGGGGGGGGGGGATTTGTGGGTCTCATGACCTGAAGATGTCTTGAATAAAGACGAAAGTTAAGATGTTTCAGTGTTTCCCACTTACTGAATGTACAGTACAGTATATGTAACTCTAATAACTTTTTACACCTTAACACTGTATTCTTGGCTGATTGTGTTCTGGTACAGTAATGTACACTACTACAGAATGCAAATTTTTGCAAAAACAGCAGCGAGCGAGGGATCATCCTTGTACACTGGCATAGGACTATGAACAAAGTGCATCATGGTGCTAAGCTCAGAGAGGATAAGCTGGGAGATGCATTAGCCTGTCACTGGCATCCCATGCATTAGCCAATTACAGCGCACAAGCCTACGGCCCAAGTTACCCAAGTTGTCTTCCCACTCACACATAGAGCACGTGAGAAACGGCAGAGCATGATGCAATCTTTCAGAACTCACGGAGCTTTTGTCCTCAGACTCGGAACAGAAAAGTTTGGAGAGATCTTCTGTAATTTTCTTGGAATTTTTCCGGAAAATGTGGCTGATTTTCATCCTTGAGAGAATTTTTCAGAAAAATTCCAGGGTCATTTCAACTCTATCTGTTGGAGAGTTCAGGGGACCAGGGATTACAGCTAACGGAAAGATTACTGTTTTATGCAATACTATATAATTTGTAATTTAACTTGAGAAAAAGAAAGGATAAGCTGTATCAGAAGGTACAGTCAACCCTCACTTTACGCGGTTAATGTAACCCACAGGGTACTGCGGAAAGTGAGAAACGCTTAAAGTGAATAACATAACATATGGGATTAAATGAAATAGAGACCAGCTGACCCCCAAACTCCACTTTTTCCAACACAATACCTATGTTCTAGTAAAAATAACATCTTAATTTTATGATGGTACATGCACACAATTAATACTTAAGAGAAATAGAGAAATACAGTCGCCAAGTTAATGTCCATTCAAATAATGGACACGACTCCCTCCCCTCTTCTCACACTACACTGCTGGCTCTTCCCTCTGAGAAATTTTGGGGGGAAAACCAGGTATAGTAATAAATAATACCTCAAACTAAAGTTAGGATAATATAATTGACATTGCTGGATTCCTTGTAAGACCAGGAATATTTTGAATATAAATGTCATATATTTTTCACAAAAGATAACATATTTACTCAGAGCAATCATTACATCTAAAATTTGTATGTCTAATGCAAAATCTATGATGTTTATATTCAAAATGATCATCAAATTGTAAGAATTCCAGCAATGTAAATTATATTCTGGCCGGGTAATTTGTATGAATTTTATGAGCTAAAACAAATATCTTCAGTTAATAAAAAAAAAAAATATTCTTCACGACACTATCTGTCAATCAAAGTACCCCACCTTGCCTCCCCCCCTCTTCCAACCAGCCAGATGGTCAGTCCGTCCCAACCCTCCCCCCCACCTCCCACCAACCCTCCCTTCAAGAGAAAGAGTGGGTGAAAAAACTAGATTTTAACATTTAGTATTAAATAATACCTCAGATTAAAGTTAGGATAATATAATTGACATTGCTGGATTCCTTGTAAGACCAGGAATATTTTGAATATAAATGTCATATCTTTTGCACAAAAGATAACATATTTACTCAGAGTGAACATTATATCTAAAAATTTTATGTCTAATGCAAAATGTATGATGTTTATATTCAAAATGATCATCAAATTGTAAGAATTCCAGCAATGTAAATTATATTCTGGCCGGGTAATTTATATGAATTTTATCAGCTAAAATTTTAATCTTCAGTTAATAAAAAAAATATATATTCTCCCGGTAACAGATGGTCGGTCGCCGGTCCCTCCCTCCCCCCCCACCCCCCACCAACCGTCCCTACTACATAAATGTGTGGGAATACCAGACTGTTTACCTTTTTAGTAATAAATAATAAATCAGACTAAAGTTAGGATAATATACTTGACATTGCTGGATTCCTTGTAAGGCCAGGAATATTTTGAATATAAATATCATATATTTTGCACAAAAGATAATATATTTACTCAAGAGTAAACATTATATCTAAAATTTGTATGTCTAATGCAAAATCTATGATGTTAATATTCAAAATGATCATCAAATTGTAAGAATTCCAGCAATGTAAATTATATTCTGGCCGGATAATTTGTATGAATTTTATGAGCTAAATAAAAAAATTATACTTCACCCGTGTAAAGGGGTACACCCACCGCGGAATGTGAGCATCCTGGGTTCTGGCAGGGCACCTCGTAAACGTAGAAACGCGGAATGTGGGACCGCGTAAAGTGAGGGTTGACTGTATTCGCTTATGATGTTTTCCTGGGGAGAGAGCTTTCAGCAAATCAGTTAACAACAGAGCCACTATAACATATTGTACAGTATAGTATTTGATAAAGATACCTTCCTGACAATGTTATTTATTACCTTTGAGTGGTACAATGAAAGACAAAAGTCGTGTCATGAAATTTGGCGGAAACATATTGTGAAGGGCTAAACTTTTGGTGCACTCTGCCTTGTGGTAAGGCTTTCATAATGTTTCACGTATTATATTTAATCTTCGGACAAAACCGCGACACACCTTTTGTCTTTGAGTGGTACATGATGGCTCGATTTGGCTACTTGTACACTTTGATAACTGATTAATGAATAAACTAGGGAAGATGCACATGCATAAATAATACACTACGAATTACTTATTAAATGCTGATAAATATGCGACAGTTTTATTCATCAAATAGTGTACAGTGAACCCTTGGAGATCTGAACTAAAGGGGGGACCACCTGTCCGAAAAAGCTGATTGTCTGAATCTTCCGGAGAATGTACAAAATGTATAAAAACGATAAATAATGACATATATATATATATATATATATATATATATATATATATATATATATATATATATATATATATATATATATATATATATATATATATATATATATATATAGATGATATGATAGATTGATTGATTGATTGATTGATTGATTGATTGATTGATTGATTGATTGATTGATTGATTGATTGATTGATTGATTGATTGATTGATTGATTGATACAGTACATATTATCCTGGCCACTGGGGTTAGATATACAGACTTTTTCCTGTGAAAAAGCCATAATTTTGGGCAACATATTACAGTACTCACTTTGTACTCAAATGTACTACACTGAAGGACTAAAATTTTTATCTCTTGTGCAAACTGTGTGATGTTATAATCAAATTATTCACTATCTTGTAAGGATTCCAGCAATGCAAATTATATTTTGCTCAGTTTAATCTGTGACATTTTATAAGATAAAAACATTCGCAACACCCCTGGGGTCTTTGAACGTGTGTGACACACACTAGTGCATTGAACAAGAGGGGCGGAATTTGAACATTTCCTCTAAATATAAATACCAATATAAATCATATGGCATTATTATTGTTAACAAATGTCACTAGCACAGTGTATTGGATGTTTCAAATACACCCAATATAGGTTTCATCACATTCCTACCAAACATGTCATGTTCTGTAACTCCAAAACTATTGAGAATTGACAGTTTGGTCATATATACATTTATTTTTATTTATACCATATGAATACACTGTCTAATTTATAAAAGGTATTTAAGGAACCCCCTGTATATAACACTTAAAGTACAAGACAATCATCTCAGTTTTATGCACTTAAAGACCTTAGTTGTTGAAGAGCAGGAATAATATATAACTATAACTTTTTTTTTTAACAGTTCAGATAAGCAGTGTTGTGTCCAGACCACCCCCAGATTCTCTCTTTTCGGACTTTCTCATTTTTCATACTTGGGTTTGACCCATGTAGTCCGGTGTATCGATGTTTTATTGTAGTGGGGTATGCTATAATGAATGGATTCTACGTACTACGAATATTCCTATAACGAACGGTTTTACCTATAAAATTGAGAATGCTATAACGAACGAAACTCCTACAACGAATTTTTTTTTTTTATACTAATTTATTGTTTTTTTATTACAAGTATTAATGATATTCTTTATTTCAGGGGTTTAGATGCATATTTATGCACTTTTTTACAATTTTTACAATTTTATATTATATTTTTCAGTATTAAGTGGTTGTATTTGGGGGCCTGGAACGGATTAATCCTATAACGAACGAATGCTATTACGAACAAGGTTCTAGAACCAATTAGATTCGTTATAGCATACTCCACTATTTGATAATTTTTGTTCCTTTTTTGCTGCTATTTTTCAGTGTGGTCACATAGAATCATCACTGTCTTCTTGTCTATATAAATTTATGTTGTACTAATTTAGTAACTTGTGAAAGGCATCTGAGACTGAAATGAACTATGAAATTCAGCTTTTTGGCATGAATATCTTGGCTGGGTTTGGTAATTACCATTTTCTAACTTAACTTGTTTTAATGGGATTTTCCATGCCATCAAAGTAACAGTACAGTAAATATATTGATGGAGGAATAACATAAATGTTTTGTTGTTTTGTACTTGATGTTTAGTTGTATTATTGTATTGTTTATTCTTATATTCCAGGGGGATAATGGCAGCTACACTTTAGCATCAAGAAATCCAAACCTAGAAGTAAGTCCTACTGATGGAATGCATAATACAAGTATTACTCTCAAGGCTCTCTGGAAAAATGGTGACACCTTCTTTGACTTCGAAAATCACAGGAATGCTGCACTAAACTTTACGGTAAGTTCCCTCATTTTACTTTTCAGTAATATGAAATCATGAGGTGAAGCACAAACTGTGGGGTTACTGATATATATTATGAACAGATGGATCATTGATGTCATCCATAAATTGCTGGGAGAATTGCTTTCAGTTGCTTTATCTTAGCGCTAAGTGTTCTTGCACTGTTAGAACAGTCTTAATCAAAGCTGGAAGGCACGACCAGGATATACCGGGGATGTCCAAAGGGGGTCAAAACATGTAGCCCTAAGTATGCACACTCATAGCTGTCAAATTAGGGATCTTGATTCTGCTGCTACTCCAACCTGTAGAAAGGATTTATGATAATTTTGTGTGCTTGACTTTTCCTTTGCTAAGGCATTCTCTGTTCTTTGATTAGCATCTGAAATTTGTGTCATTATATTACTGTATACCTGACTTCCTGTGTGTATGAGATTGCTATGAGGAGCAATGTGTTAAGAATTATTGATTGATCCCTGTAGAAAAAATACTGTACAGTTATCCCTTGCTATATGAATGGGTTAGGTTCTTTGAAAACTATTTGTTAAGTGAATATTCATATGTCAAATAACATAACACCCACCCAATATCATACCTAAAATTAAACAGGTTCACAGAGAACAAATTAACTTACCTAACTACTGTAAATTTTTCATAGCCAACTACACCCACCTCTCGTTTTATACAGAGATTACGTTCTTGAAAATCACCGCATAATTCAAAAACGCGTAAATTAAACATATTTTTCCCCTAAGAATGCATGTAAATGGTACAGGTTAGGGGAACAATCATATATATCGTGCAGGGTAACTCACAATATATATTCTTTTACCTTACTCATTCATAAAGAAAAAACGTTAATAAAGGAAAAATAATAGTAAATACAGTATTATCTCTGTGAGCCGGAATCTCTTTCAAACTCGGAACTCTCCGATAGCCAGAATTGAAATTTTCTCAGAAAATCATTCCCAAAGCCAGAATTTTTCGGAAAATTACGACTTTGGGAACAATTTTCCAAGGAACGCATTTTCCGGAAAATTCCGAGAAAATTCTCCCGATACCCGGATAATTTCGGGGATGGGAGAGTTTTTTCGGGTTTGAGAGATGAAAATCATGCGCATTTTCTGGAACTTTCGAGAGCATTTTCCCGTTACCCGGAAAATTCCGGGAATGGGGTACTTTTCCCGCTTTGAGAGAGTCGTCTCGTTACCCGGAAATCTCTCATTCCCGGAAGCGCTCTGCACCAATTGTTCTAGCTAATGGGGATATTACTGTACATCTTAAATAACACTTACATTGATGACTGGCAACTTCTGCTTGACAAAGGTGGCATAGGGTAGGGTTGAGGAGGGAGGCTACAGAGGCGGAGGCGAGAGGTACGGGTGAGACGGTGGTTGAGGTAGACTATGTCTGGAGATGCCAGATGTCGATGGCTGAGATGCGTTTCAGCCAGATTTCTTGAAATATAAGAGCAATGTCTTTTGGATGGTTTTTATTTTATTTTCTTGCAGGATTTCTTTGTAGCACTGCATAGCCAAAATACATTTCTACTCACTTTTGAATGGTACTAACAGTGCTCTCATGTAAACCAAGCACGCGGCCAACATCAGACACACGCTGTCCTCTCTGAAGGCGGGTGATCACATCTAATTTCATGCCTATTGCGGTTGTTTTTTCGTGCCTTTTTTGCTTTAGGCTGGAATTTAGGGAATTTTCTGGACAAATTCTGAGCAAATTTCAATTCTGGCTATTGGAGAGTTCCAGGTTTGAGGGATTCCGGCTAATGGAGATACTACTTAATGTAAAAAAAATGTATCTGTAAATTAGTTATTCAAATTAAATGGGATGCTAAAAGTTGGTACGTTGAAGAAAAGTGTTATAGATTATGGTTCAAAACTGTTCAAAGACCAAAAGAGGGCTCATAAATTTATCTTTCCCAGGGGATTTGACCAGCTCTTGACACCCCAGTCAATTGTAACTTGGTTCTGTTATATACAGTACCTGTTCTATCAAGGGTTTACTGTATGCAGTAATACTTACAAAGATAGAAAAATAAATAAGTTCACAAACAATAAAAAACCTATCTAAGTACTGTAATTTAGTACAGTACATAATGACTGTAATTTAGTATCTAACGACTTTAAATACATAGATAACTACAGGTAAACCTCAAGAAATGATATCCCGATCAGCGATATTCCGCTTTAACGATGGTAATAAATTAAGGCCATCTCACTGTATATAATCAAAATTACTCACTTTGATGATGTCCATAGAATAGCCATCGATAACCATTGGTTGGATCTTTTGTATACATCTAGTGCAAACTATGGCTTGTATGTACTCAAATTAATCGCTGTTTTGCAAGGATTCTACAATGTAACGATTTTTCTACTTCAAGTCAGTTACATTTTATAAAGAAACAATATTTAACCCTATGTATGACACATCACTACCTTCACTTGTAAGCCTACCCACACGCCACAACACAGCCAATCCTCACACTATAGCCCTGTGTTTGGTTCTTTGTCAATCGTAAACCCACCTTCGTGTGGCTTCACAATTATCTTTTACTTTTATCTTCTTCGCCACTGATCAGCTCGTTACCGCTTGGGTGATCGGTCACGTCTCTGTTACGCACTGTTGGCAAGTACTAGGCATGCACTGGCTCCTGAATGTACCTAAACCTACTCCAGTGTTGGTCAAGTCTGGTCTTGAAAGACCTCACACTCGGTGCCATCACAACACCTTCTGGCAGATTGTTCCAAGAGTTCACAACTCTCACTCTGAAAAAGTTTGCCCTCACATTTTTCTGGACTTGCAGCTTCTTCAATCTTGAGCTGTGACCCCTTGTGGGGCGAGCGTACGCCAGCTCCAGGTAAGGACACTCGACTGAGTAGTGCCCCTTGAGATGCTTATACACCTCAATTAGGTCGCCCCTTGCCTGTCTGTAGTATAAGCTAGGCAAGTTCAGGCGCTCCAATCTCTCAGGGTAATTGAGGTGCCGAAGTGTAGGCACCAGCTTGGTGGCCCTCTTTTGAGCATTTTCAACCAACTGACAGTCCCTAGCATATCTCAGGGACCAGACGGTGGTGACAGTACTCCAGATGGGGAAACCACTTCTTATAAGACCTAATTATTTATTTGCCTGATTTACTTTCTTCACGCAATGGCCCGAGAACTTCAGCTCATTGTCAACATACACACCTAGGTCCTTCTCACATTCAGTCTCAAATAGTGCAGTTTCTTCATCCCGTTGGGACATATGATACGCCTCTTTACCGTTAGTACGCCCCAGGTGTATCCTCTTACATTTCGTCACATTGAATCTCAGCAGCCATTTCTTCGACCATTCGTGGAGCTCACAGAGATCCTTCTGCAGCTCTTCACAGTCCGCTTGGTTCTTGATTTCCCGAAATAACTTGGCGTTATTTGCAAACATTTGTATGGAGGAGTGTACAACGTCAGGCATGTCATTTATGAAACAAAAAAACAACAGCGGGCCCAATACACTGCCCTGTGGTACTCCACTTGTGACAGGTACAGATGATGATTTCATGCCATAAATCACCACACGCTGCTTGCGGTCATGTAGAAAGTCTTCTATCGGCCAGCATTGTACTTATCATTGGTGGTTATTTTCTTATAAAGTGAAAGGACAGCACTAACATTTAGATTGAACTGTGTTATGGTGACTATGAAGTGATATTTCTGTGTTTTTGTGATTGTAAGGTGCGTCTACTCTGTTGTTTTGAAAATGTAAGCAGTGTTGGCTGCTGTCATTGTTTTCCTTATCATCGTTCACTCTGTTTTTGTGACAATTGCTTTTGCTCTGTTTTTGTGACTGTGATGTTAGCAGTGTAACTTTGAAAATGTCTGGGAAGGCCAAGGCAACCAAGGCAACCATGTCTCTGTGGTGAAGCTTGACACTGTTAAGCAGCATGAGACTCCCAGAGGCTGTGTGGGAGTCAGAGTGATGTCACCGCTCCACCTACAAGAGTACCCTTAGTCTCAAAGAGGACATGTGATGATGATCAGACTTATTCTTCACGATTGTGGTGAGTGTTGTTTAATTGTTTTCTACTGATAGTTGTATTGTAGGAATTGTTTTGTCGGTGACATGTGTTTGGGGACTGGCTGGGAACGTATCTCATTGAACCCCAAGTTATAATGCTCCCTATTTATAATAATTCACCTAGCGATGGGGTTTTCAGGAACCTAACCCCATCGTATCTTGAGGCTTACCTGTGCTGTAATTTAATGCCTACCTACCGTTATTATGGGAATAATAATTTGAAAGCTTATTAGCTTACCATCCACATGGGAGGCTGGTATACAGTGAGTACTGTACAGTACCGTATTGTACAGTACTCCCTAATACAGTACATGTAATAATAATAAACAGGTTTGTTGTAAACGGTTTCGAAGTTAAAGTATCAATTTATTAACACCAAACTTCTATATAAACGATATGGTTCAGAGTTAAATAATTTGTGAGCAAAGGGTGAGCCTAATTTGAAAATTTTTAAATTACATACAGTACATAAAAAACGAAAACAAAATGCTATGATAAACAATAAAATTGATACATAGCCTATCTTAAAGTACAGCAGCACATATTTGAAGAAAAAAATAGTTCCGGTCATCCAGCTGACTCACAGAGATGTTGCTGCTGCCGTGCTGCGATGTGTAGGTGCCTTAATGTCACATTAGGGGGAGGAAGTCAGGGAGCACTGTTGGGCTCGCAATGCAATTACTGCACACTGCTTCCACAAATGTGTTCACCAAGTCCCAAGTTGCTGATCTGACTTTCTGCCTCATTTACACAGTTGTAGGGTTTCAATTGTTTCTCTTACTTTGACAACACAACATTTTAGTATTTATTTATTTTCCTTTGTTATTATTATTATTAATATTATTATTATTATTATTATTATTATTATTATTATTATTATTATTATTATTATTATTATTATCATCATTAGTATTATTATATACAGTATTACCCCGCCTAACACGGTTTCACTTAACACGTTTTACCATATACGCGGTGCCTCGCCAGAGCTGAACTTTCACTTAACACGGATTTTTTCCACATATACGCGGTGAGTGTCCGGCTCGAGACGCTATTTTTAGATTTGCCCCACCCGCCACCCTGCCTGACTGCCTGTTTTAGCTCATAAAATTCATACAAATTACCCGGCCAGAATATAATTTACATTGCTGGAATTCTTATAATTTGGTGATCATTTTGAATATAAACATCATATATTTTGCATTAGACATACAAATTTTAGATAAAATGTTTTCTCTTGAGTAAATATGTTATCTTTTGTGCAAAATATATGACATTTATATTCAAAATATTCCTGGTCTTACAAGGAATCCAGCAATGTCAATTATATTATCCTAACTTTAGTTTGAGGTATTATTTATTACTAAAGTTAAATATTCTGGTTTCCCCACACATCTCCTTGGGACGGTTGGTGGGGGGTGGGGGGGAGGGAGGGACCGACCGACCATCTGTTACCCTGTGAAGAATATTTTTTTTTTTTATTAACTGAAGATATTTGTTTTAGCTCATAAAATTCATACAAATTACCCGGTCAGAATATAATTTACATTGCTGGAATTCTTATAATTTGATGATCATTTTGAATATAAACATCATATATTTTGCATTAGACATACAAATTTTAGATAAAATGTTTTCTCTAGTAAATATGTTCTCTTTTGTGCAAAATATATGACATTTATATTCAAAATATTCCTGGTCTTACAAGGAATCCAGCAATGTCAATTATATTATCCTAACTTTAATCTGAGGTATTATTTAATACAAAATGTTAAAATTTATTTTTTTCACCCACTCTTTCTTTGGTGGGGGGTGGGGGGGAGGGTTGGGACTGACCGCGCGGTTGGAAGAGGGGGGAGGCAAGGTGGGGTACTTTGATTGACAGATAGTGTCCTGAAGAATATTTTTTTTTTTATTAACTGAAGCTATTTGTTTTAGCTCATAAAATTCATACAAATTACCCGGCCAGAATATAATTTACATTGCTGGAATTCTTACAATTTGGTGATCATTTTGAATATAAACATCATATATTTTGCATTAGACATACAAATTTTAGGTAAAATGTTTTCTCTAAGTACATATGTTATCTTTTGTGCAAAATATATGACATTTATATTCAAAATATTCCTGGTCTTACAAGGAATCCAGCAATGTCAATTGTATTATCCTAACTTTAGTTTGAGGTATTATTTATTAAAATTTAGTGGTTTTCCCCCAAAAATTTCTCAGAGAGGGAAGAGCCAGCAGTGTAGTGTGAGAAGAGGGGGAGGGAGTTGAGTCCATTATTTGAATGGACATTAACTTGGCGACTGTATTTCTCTATTTCTCTTAAGTATTAATTGTGTGCATGTACCATCATAAAATTAAGATGTTATTTTTAATACAACATAGTTATGTGTCTTCAAAAAGTGGAGTTTGGGGGTCGGGCTGGTTTCTATTGGAATTAATCCCATATGTTCTGTTGTTCACTTAACGCGGATTTCACTTAACGCGGGCCCCTCTGGGTTCTATTGACCGCGTTAAGTGGGGTACAACTGTATACAGTATTATATTATATTATATTGTATTATATTATATATTTATTTAATATTTTGTATAACTTTTTATTATTAATACAGTATTACCCCGCCTAACGCGGTTTCACTTAACGCGTTTTATCATATACGCGGTGCCTCGCCAGAGCTGAACTTTCACTTAACACGGATTTTTTCCACATATACACGGTGAGTGTCCGGCTCGAGACGGCTCGAGACGCTATTTTTAGATTTGCCCCACCCGCCACCCTGCCTGACTGCCTGTTTTAGCTCATAAAATTCATACAAATTACCCGGCCAGAATATAATTTTCATTGCTGGAATTCTTATAATTTGGTGATCATTTTGAATATAAACATCATATATTTTGCATTAGACATACAAATTTTAGATAAAAAATTTTCTCAGAATAACTATGTTATCTTTTGTGCAAAATATATGACATTTATATTCAAAATGTTCCTGGTCTTACAAGGAATCCAGCAATGTCAATTATATTATCCTAACTTTAGTTTGAGGTATTATTTATTAAAATTTAGTGGTTATCCCACACATCTCCTTGGGACGGTTGGTGGGGGTGGGGGGGAGGGAGGGACCGACCGACCATCTGTTACCCGGTGAAGAATTATTATTTTTTTTTATTAACTGAAGATATTTGTTTTAGCTCATAAAATTCATACAAATTACCCGGTCTGAATATAATTTACATTGCTGGAATTCTTATAATTTGATGATCATTTTGAATATAAACATCATATATTTTGCATTAGACATACAAATTTTAGATAAAAATTTTTCTCAAATTAACTATGTTATCTTTTGTGCAAAATATATGACATTTATATTCAAAATATTCCTGGTCTTACAAGGAATCCAGCAATGTCAATTATATTATCCTAACTTTAATCTGAGGTATTATTTAATACTAAATGTTAAAAACTCTGGAAGGGAGGATTGGTGGGGGGTGGGGGGGAGGGTTGGGACTGACCGCGCGGTTGGAAGAGGGGGGGAGGCAAGGTGGGGTACTTTGATTGACAGATAGTGTCCTGAAGATTATTTTTTTTTTTATTAACTGAAGATATTTGTTTTAGCTCATAAAATTCATACAAATTACCCGGTCAGAATATAATTTACATTGCTGGAATTCTTATAATTTGGTGATCATTTTGAATATAAACATCATATATTTTGCATTAAACATACAAATTTTAGATAAAAAATTTTCTCTAGGTAACTATGTTATCTTTTGTGCAAAATATATGACATTTATATTCAAAATATTCCTGGTCTTACAAGGAATCCAGCAATGTCAATTGTATTATCCTAACTTTAGTTTGAGGTATTATTTATTAAAATTTAGTGGTTTTCCCCCAAAAATTTCTCTGAGAGGGAAGAGCCGGCAGTGTAGTGTGAGAGGGGGAGGGAGTTGAGTCCATTATTTGAATGGACATTAACTTGGCGACTGTGTTTCTCTATTTCTCTTAAGTATTAATTGTGTGCATGATCCATCATAAAATTAAGATGTTATTTTTACTACAACATAGGTATGTGCCTTCAAAAAGTGGAGTTTGGGGGTCGGGCCGGTTTCTATTGGAATTAATCCCATATGTTCTGTTGTTCACTTAACGCGGATTTCACTTAACGCGGGACCCTCTGGGTTCAATTGACCACGTTAAGTGGGGTACAACTGTAATAATAATAATAATAATTATTATTATTATTATTATTATTATTATTATTATTATTACTATTATTATTATTATTATTATTATTATTATTATTATTATTATTATTATCGTTATTATTATATATATAGTATTATATTGTATTTTTATTTAATATTTTGTATAAATTTTTATTATTTTTATTAATTATTATTATTATTATTACAGTATTATTTTTATTATTATTATTATTATTATTATTATATTATTATTATTATTATTATTATTATTATTATTATTATTATTATTATATTATTATTATTATTATTATTATTATTATTATTATTATTATTATTATTATTATTACTATTTTTATTATTATTATTATTAAATTTTTGCCCCCAGGCCCTGAGGTGGGTCATTGACTTATGCCACATTGGAATATTGTAAAAATTATTCCACAACATTTACAGTTTCATTACATTTGTTTGGAAGGATCATCCATTCTGTTGGTGGCTTCAGTTTGTTTAATTTGTTAAAGCATTTATTAATTTACATTTCTTCTATCCAGATAGTTGCAGAAGAGAAGAACAACCATGAACATCATAAATCAGCTATAGTTTCAATCACTCTTCTTGATGTCAACGATAACAGCCCAAAATTTAATAAACCGGTTTATAGTAACACTCTGGATGAAGATGTACCAACTGGAACCTCCATAGATACAGTGTCTGCTAAGGATGATGACATATCTCCTAATTTTAACACAGAGAGCATCAGGTGAGAATTATTATTTATGAAAATAAAATAATTGTATTTAATACAGTACTTATAACTCAGTTTATTATATCTTGTACATTAATTAATTGTAAGCATTATAAAGCAATTTGAAGGTTAAGGATTCACTCTTCATGCTGTATTTACAAATTGAGAAAATGAAAAAGTGTACAGTACAATACAGTACTGTATATGGAATGTTTTTCTTATTGCTTGAGGAATATTCTGTTAAATTCTAAACATGTCTTGCACGACTCAACCTGTCGTCGTTATCCTTCTTTCATCACTACCATCATTTTCATTAAATTGCTATGATATATAAGACAGTTCAAGTGTACTGTATACTTAAGAGTACTATACAGTATATTTAAGTGCATTTTAATGTATTATGTAAATGTAACAGTGAGTGTACAAATACAGTGGTTTAATAAGTGTGTACATATGTACTGTGAAATTGTACAAAGGTGTATTGTATGTACAGGTTGTACCTCTCTAGTCCGGCAACCTCGGGACCTGACCGGTGCCGGACCATGGAAATTCACCCTTTTCCTGGATAGCTAGTGACTTGTGCTTACACTTGGAAGCACTAGCACCACTTTCTCTGCTTCATGGTCTCTTTGAAGACATATTGAAGGGTTAAATGTCGTACAGTAGCTTCTCAAATTTCGCGAGTTTTTAATTCAATGTTTTCTATTTGAACACCCAAAAAAAAAACAACACATTTAAAAATTATGAAGGCGGAGACTCAAATTTCGACAGGTTTAAACGGCCCACCAACGTTCAGATTACATGCACAATCGTGTAAACAGCGTCATTTCTCTTATGTACAAAAGATTCATTAGTGTTTATTACTGAAAGTCTTTTTGATTGAATTTATGTTTGTGTGTGCAAAATGGGCAATATTAAAACACGAGGAAATGACACAGCATTGTTTTCGTTGATTACAAAACCAGTGACTGACTGGTTCTACATATAAAACTGAAGAAAATAAGACCCTGGTTGTAGCTGTAGTAAAATTAATATGGTTGTTTTAAGTAATGTTATTTAATGTTAATAAATGGAACAATAGAAGTAGCTAATGATAATGGTAAAGAAAAAAAGAGAGATCGCGTATGTAATTGCGCACACGTGAAAACATATCGTCATTACTTTACATAAGAAAATGAAAGCAACACTTATTTACTGTTCATATATATTTAAATTAATGTTTCTGAATTTGTTTTTATTGAATTAATGTTTGTGTGTGCAAAATTAACAATACAATTTATGAATAATACGTGGAATATTAGAGGAGACGAGACGGCTGCCGGCATTGTTTATGTTAAAGCTTACGAAACCAGTGACTGATTGGTTCTACATATAAAACTGAAGAAAATAAGACCCTGATTGTAGCTGTAGTAAAATTAATGTAAAAAATTAATATGGTTGTTTGAAGTACCTGTAATGTTATTTAATGTTAATAAATGGAACAATATAAGTAGCTAACCATTAATGGTAAAAAAAAGTGAGACTGCGCGTATGTAAGTGCGCACATGTGAAAACATATCGTCATTACAGGCATCCCCCGCGTTACGGAAGCCCGGGTTACAGAATTTCGCTCTTACGTAATTTGTAAATTATGACCAATAATTTCGCGTTACGGCCCGTGAATCCGCCCTTACGGAAATTGGGGTAAATTTTAACAAACACAAGGCCTCACACATGCTTTTCAGACTGACAGACTTGACAAGTTTTACCAACCATAAAGTCAGTTGAAGCTTTAAACATCACTCACAATGGATCTTGAATATTCCAACTGTAATCAGACATACCTAAGTTGCCTCAACAATTGCAACCCCAGTTGCAATATCAAATTCTGTGTCACTACTAAAAAATAATAGTTTCTGGTGCACTCTTAAGATTAAGAGAAAACGGACAACTCAGGAGTGCTGAAGTGAGAGAAAACGGACTCCTATGACGGGGCACTCAAATAAACATACACATAGCTGTATAATGCAATATTATGCAATATTAACCCCTAAATTGGTGTTTTAAGAAGGTATATCATAAATTATTTAATGTACTGTATTGTATGTGTTTATAAATGTTTATTTTCATTAATAAAAGTGCTTGAATAACTTTTTTGGGGCTGAAAAAATTCCTTACGAACGCATCTCCAGTTTTATAATAGAAGTCAATGGGAAAATAGGTTTCTCGTTACGGAATTTCGCGATACGGTCAATTTTCCGGGAACGGAACCCTTCCGTAACGTGGGGGATGCCTGTACTCTACATAAGAATATGAAAGCAACACTTATTTACTGCTCATATATATTGAAGGGTTAAATGTTGTACTCTGTATAAACAAGCAGAGAGAGAGAGAGAGAGAGAGAGAGCAGCCAAACTGCCGGATGTAAACAAACCTTAATTTCCCGTGGCTTTGCTGTTGTTGTTTTTTTACGGGGATTAGCCCACCCGGGCATAGGTCACTGACCCACATTGGGGCCTGAGGGGCAAAAATTTAATACTCCTGTAATAATAATAATAATTCAGATTAGTAAAAAAAAAAAAAAAAAACCTGCCCATCTACCTATTTGACAAACTAAAATCGTTCCGGACCACGGGAGTTTCCGGACCACAGAATGCCGGACTAGAGAGGTACAACCTGTACTAGTGTACATACAGTGAACCTTCGAATATCCGGACTAAAAGGGGGGACCACCTATCCGGAAAAGCCGATTGTCCCGATTTTCCTGTGTTTAATAGATGATATAAGAAACACCAAAAATACAGTACAGTATTACCCCGCCTAACGCGGTTTCACTTAATGCGTTTTATCATATACGCGGTGCCTCGCCAGAGCTAAACTTTCACTTAACACGGATTTTTTCCACATATACGCGGTGAGTGTCCGGCTCGAGACGCTATTTTTAGATTTGCCCCACCCGCCACCCTGCCTGACTGCCTGTTTTAGCTCATAAAATTCATACAAATTACCCGGCCAGAATATAATTTACATTGCTGGAATTCTTATAATTTGGTGATCATTTTGAATATAAACATCATATATTTTGCATTAAACATACAATTTTTAGATAAAAATTTTTCTCTAGGTAACTATGTTATCTTTTGTGCAAAATATATGACATTTATATTCAAAATATTCCTGGTCTTACAAGGAATCCAGCAATGTCAATTATATTATCCTAACTTTAATCTGAGGTATTATTTAATACTAAATGTTAAAAACTCTGGAAGGGAGGATTGGTGGGGGGTGGGGGGGAGGGTTGGGACTGACCGCGCGGTTGGAAGAGGGGGGGAGGCAAGGTGGGGTACTTTGATTGACAGATAGTGTCGTGAAGATTATTTTTTTTTTTATTAACTGAAGATATTTGTTTTAGCTCATAAAATTCATACAAATTACCCGGTCAGAATATAATTTACATTGCTGGAATTCTTATAATTTGGTGATCATTTTGAATATAAACATCATATATTTTGCATTAAACATACAAATTTTTAGATAAAAATTTTTCTCTAGGTAACTATGTTATCTTTTGTGCAAAATATATGACATTTATATTCAAAATATTCCTGGTCTTACAAGGAATCCAGCAATGTCAATTGTATTATCCTAACTTTAGTTTGAGGTATTATTTATTAAAATTTAGTGGTTTTCCCCCAAAAATTTCTCTGAGAGGGAAGAGCCGGCAGTGTAGTGTGAGAGTGGGAGGGAGTTGAGTCCATTATTTGAATGGACATTAACTTGGCGACTGTATTTCTCTATTTCTCTTAAGTATTAATTGTGTGCATGTACCATCATAAAATAAAGATGTTATTTTTACTACAACATAGGTATGTGCCTTCAAAAAGTGGAGTTTGGGGGTCGGGCCGGTTTCTATTGGAATTAATCCCATATGTTCTGTTGTTCACTTAACGCGGATTTCACTTAACGCGGGACCCTCTGGGTTCAATTGACCGCGTTAAGTGGGGTACAACTGTACTAATGTAGTGATTAACAAATTACCGTATATAAACTATGCATTTACCTATGATATAATAAGAAACATTGTATCATTACTAGAGTGAATGAAATAATATTCCCACAAACAACAATTGTCAACTTTGTTTATGTTTCTCACCTCCTTGGGCACCTGTGTCCAAGCAACTGACGGGTCAAGCAGCACCACGGGCCTAAAATTTTCTTTTCTCTGGTTTGGGAATGTTTCTTAAGAAAACTTCTACAAGGCTTCTTAGCCCAGTATCCCCCCCCAATTTTTTTGTCTGGATCTACCGAAATCCGGATTTCCTGGGTCCGGATCTTTGAGGGTTTACTGTACTCATAGAGCATCAGCACCATTTGAAACAGCTGTGGGAGAAGTTTTTCTCTACGACAGCATTTACGAGGTAGAGTAAAATTTCCATTGTGTACAGGAATACTTTGCTATTTGCATCCCTGCTTATCTGCAGTTGACATTTTAACACCTCTATTTGATATTCGAAAAGCGTATCCCACTTATTCGCAAAGAAAAATTAAAGTACCTGCAGTAATATTTCAAACCACGCAGCCTAGCGGCAGCTCTCATATTCCACTGTAAGGACTTCTTCACATGAGTGTGTTTTTTCCTCGTGTGAGAACCTGTGCAGTTTGATAATGAATGAAGTTCAATGGGCCCATTCACATGGAGCACCTATCTCTACTGTGGTCACCTACGCCTACCATCTCACGACCGCCAGTTGCCACCAGGACTTACCGACTGACCCCTGACTCTGCCATGCGGTGTTTCGGACAATGGGTGACCCGGTATCCCTAGACTGAAGTGATCACGTTAGACGATGTGCAGAACAAGTGGGATAATTACCTGGACACTATCACCAAAGCCTACCACCACTTCTTTCCAGCCAAGACACTGAGGATCCACTCCGATGATGTCCCCGTGGATTACACCCTGTATCAAAAAACTAATTGAGCAGCGCAACAAGACATACTACACCAACAACCGCCTGTACAAAAGTCTACGTAAC